AGCCAAAATGATCTGTAAATAATTAGCAAAAGTTATGTCCTAAATTATTAAAAAATAAAAAAATATAATTTTTTTTATGTTAAATAAAAATTTGTCATAGTTTCTTTCAAAAAATGAAGTTAGTTTTTGCTGTTGTTGTTGTTGTTGATGCAAAAGGAAAAAAAGAGTGAAGAAATAGAAACAAAGATTAATATCCGTGATTAGAAAAGATTTGCTATATAATTTTTTTCAGCAGATTAATAACATAAATCGCCTTCTTCTTCTTCTTTCTGTTGTTGTTGTTTTTGAATAGCTTTTTAGGCTAACTTTAGTTGACCAAAAAAAAAGTAAAATTAAAAAAGAAACAAGTGCTTTTTTTTTTTATTCTGAACTAAAATGTTACAAGATTCTGTAATTACTGCTGATCTTAGTGCTTGTTGAAGTTCAAAAATGTCGAAAAAATAAGAACAAAAATAAAAAAGGATATTCATTTAGAAATTGGAAGACTAATGGTTTTAACATTAGATGAGGTTATTTTGCATTATCAGATGAAACAATTGAATTTTGTATACATTTTTGGACTTTTCTACAGATTATGGTTTTTTTTTTATTTGTTCCAAGTGACAACCACAAAAATATTTTAGCATAACACCTGTAAAATAGCTGTGTCTAAGTTTTTACTATTAGCTGACAGTGCCTGAAATTTTGACATCTACTGTTTTTTGTAACGGGGAAACATTGGTTTTCCTAATCCTTTTCAACAAACTTCTTCAATAAACTTAATTTATTCTTAACAAACATCTTCTATACCTACAAAAAGAAGAAAAAATATTACTCTATCATTAAAAGCAATTTTTTTAATAAGTGATATGAGTAGGAAAACTGGTCTAACTGGTCAAAGATTTCTTGCTTCTTCTAGACGACAAAAAAAAAGTGTCCCAGATTAGGTTATGGGAAAAATAGCACTAATTGATGCTGTCTAAATAGTTTTGCTTATTTTTTCCTCGTCTACTAATTATGTTCATTCCTCTTCTGATCTAAACCAAACGCTTCTTAATATTTTAAAATAATTGTTCAGAGAATGATAGCTAAAAAATGATCTATTTTCTTCTAGATAAACAAGTCTTAATAATCAACAAACACTAAAGTGGTGGGGGGAATATTGTGGAAGGATAAGTGTGAAAGACAGTGTTTTTTTTTTTGTTGACCACCTCAGAAACGTTCTGCTACTTCATGTGATCGATTTCATTCAAAAATTTATTTGAAAACACTGTGAGTGTGAAACTACTAAGATAAAAAAAAAAAAAACGCAAGCACAAATAGTTCAAAAACAGTACAAATTATACCTTTTTAGTGTGTCAATATTGGATCTTTTGTGCCATTTGTTTGATTGTCCTAAACAGTTTTCCTGATTTTATTTCATCACAAGTGGGTTTTTTGAAACTTCTAGCTAACTTTTTAGACCAAAAAAAAATTTTTGCACCTGTTTACTGTTATGCTGATAAACTGTTTGCATCAGTTAACCATTACAAACCTTGTTTTTTTTCCTCTCGATTTTATATGATTTTGTGAAAGATTGAACAGATATTAGCAGTGTAGAAAACTAATAGCTGAAAACAGTTTGTAGAAGAGGGGTTAAGAAATAGGAGGAAATTGTTCATTTAGTTTGATCTGTAATTTAGTTCCTGAAAAGCTTGTTTTGTTTTTTTTTTT